ACGAACTACCCCCCCCCGCCCCCCCGCCCCCCCGCCCCCCGCGCCATCTGTTAGGTTCGTTCTTTCCGCCAAAGAGACCACCGCGGTGCAGACCTTCCTCACAAAGCCGAAGAAGGCTCAGGACGCCAAGATGGTTATCGGTGGCTTGAGAGGGGGGAAACCGTCGAGTCGAAGAGGGGGCGGGGGAGCGACCTCGTCATCGACCAAGAAGGGGCCGCTGGGGGAGTCGGTCGGGGACCGGCTGGAAGTGTCCGGGGAGAGCATCTTGCTCGTCAAGGGGGTGGCCGAGAGAATCGCCCAAGACAGGTACGGGAAGGCAAACGGGTTCCGCAGTATGAAGCAGAATTGTAGGTGTTGTGTGCGGTCCAGCAGGGAGAGAGGAAGTGACAGACAGACAGACAGACAGAGAGAGAGAGAGAGAGAGAGAGAGAGAGAGAGAGAGAGAGAGAGAGAGAGAGAGAGAGAGAGAGAGAGAGAACCGGGATTGGACACCGTTTGGAGGCCGTCGCTAGGCCCTTTCCCGACAGCTTGCGCCACGGGGGGTTAGGCGAAACATGTGTATGCTCAAACACCAGTACTTTTGTCGACTCCGCTTTTTTCATCCTCACATGCGCGCCACGAATGCGTATGGTGCTGTCGAGAAGGGATGAAGGGTGAGTTCTAGATCGAGAAAAGAGTTGAAACAGTGCAGAAGAACACTATGTCGGTCTCACCACCGCTACAACGAAAGCATGCGACACTCCCACGTTTGTTTGTGCTCGTGCTTGTCGTGTAAATGGGCGCTTGGGCTGACATGGCAGAGGGGGCGCGCTGTTTGTGGATTACGGAGAGGCCCACGCCCTCGGAGACTCGCTGCGGTGCTTCAAGGGGCACGAGGAGGTGTGCGTGTATTTCCGACCGCCTCTGGGGCTTATCTGTATGAATATATTCAACGTCTTGCAATTCGAGCTGCTCACTTAAGGTTTTGCCGCACCAGGAGCTCCCTTTTAGTTTTGTTTGTTTCTGGTGGTTTTTCCGTGCTGTCTGGCGATCGTTTCTCTCTGCCCCTTGTGGTTGCCTTCGAACGAGTCCGTTACGCCCTCTCTCCCTCCGTCTGATCTGTCTCTCTCCCTGCTTGCGGTGTGACAAACAAACAGCATGTACCTCCTGTTGTCACACTGCTGTTTGCAAGTTGTGGTGTACCCTCCGCTGGTGCGTGTTTCCGTCGTCCGCCCAAGCACGCACACTACCTGTACGGTATACCCCCCTCCCCCCCCCGAACAAACGTCTACAATAAGGTGCCCGTCCTGTCGGACCCGGGAGAAGCGGACATGACCGCAGACGTCAACTTCGGCCTGCTGAGGCGCGTCGTCGCCGGGGTGGAGGGGGCCCGGCCGCACGGCCCCGTGGGTCAGGGGCAGTTCTTGAGGGAGATGGGCATCGGGGCCAGGCTCACCGCGTTGGCCGAGCAGCCCCACGTAACCGCGGAACAGGTGAGGCTTACAGCACCTTTGGGGGTCCCGATATGGTGCACTCCCTACAAGTGCGGCGGGCCGATCGAGTGCGGTCGTGGCACCGGAATTTGCCGTCGGTACTGTGAGCCGCACAATGCCGAAGCCGTAAGTGTACGGATCCCGGTACGGTGCGGTATTGGCAAGGGTGACTAACAGCTGTTCGATGTGGTCGGCCAATCAGAGACGAGTTTTCCGAGATTCACGTGTTGTTTTTGAACCCGCGGGTGTACGAGTTGGTGTTAAAGAGGACGGCCTTCTCTAACATCAAGTAAAATGGGGAGCATGTGTTCACTATACGAATTACAAGGAGTGGACACATTGGCCCATCCGGCCAATCACGTGAATACTTGTCGTTACTCGTTTTGCCTTTGATGCCCACGCCTCAGTGACCCCTCTCTGTCTGTCTGTCTCTGTGTGCCTCTCTCTCTCTCTCTCTCTCTCTCTCTCTGTCTGTCTCTCTGTCTCTCTCTCTCCCTCCCTCTCTCTCTGTTTCTCTGCCTCTACCTACCTCGGTCCCTCTCTCCCTGCGGGGCCTTTCTTCCATTCGCTCTACCTCCGCGCCCTCAGGCCGACGCGATGCTAGAAGGTTACGTGCGGTTGGTGGACCCCGCGCAGATGGGCGTACGCTACAAGGTGTTGGGCATCTCGGAAGAGCGCCAAGAAATGCCTCCCCCGGGCTTCATGTCCGAGGTCGATCCCGACCTTCGCAAATAGTTTATTACAGGAGGCGTCGTTGTTATGTCCTAGAACCTCTAGGTTTGAGTCTTGGTCTGCCCCTGTGCAGGATCTGCTGCTATTGAAGGGATTTCACTCAAAGTTGGTGCTTTTCTTTTTAAGCTTGAGAAGGCAAAATGCGGCTATGCATACATAGGTAGGTTGCAAAACTTGCCGTTGACACCACGGAGCAAGACAGACTGGCCTTGTTCATGTAGCTGTAGCTTAGCTTGCAGCAGGAAATCATGGCCGTTTCTGCGAACAACGCGAAAGCCTTGCTCCATACCTCACGGTTGGACGGGTATCTTGTACACGCTGGGCGTCTGTGAGACTCTCTACGTTTTTTTCTCCCAGCCATACGGCCGTCACTAGGCCTCTATTATAGCACTAACCGCGGAGCTCCTAACGGATCACCCCCCGAGCAGCCCCCCCCCCCCCCCGCTTCCCTGAAGCCCCCAGTTTCCGTGCGTGCAGCCATGCAGCTATGGCACCGGCAGCCGCCGCTGTCGTAGTTTCGCTACTATTGTGCCAGTGCGGAGGTTTCGGCATTTGGCCGATCTACCAGACATCGTCGCTCACGATGCAAAGTAGTGTACCGTGAGGGCCGAATACTAGGGGATCAAGCGGTCGGCATCGCGATACGAAAAGACGCGGGTGTATGTTCGAATAAACGTCGAAGCCTGGCGGTCTTTGGGAGAGGTTCGCCGCGGTCCTTTCCTTGTATGCATCTGCATGGCAGGTAGAAAAAAATCATCTAGTAAATGATGCATCTATGTGATCGCCGGTCTACCGTAAGTGCCCTTTGCAAAATGGTCTCGTCTACATACATCGATAAATTCGTTCTGTTTCAGACCCACCCAACCCACTCACAACCACCGCCATTTAATATCCTCCACAAGAGAGTTTCTACATCCTGTCAAGGAAAGGAGCCTGGAGCCTAAGCGCCATCTGGGCGGCCAAACACTTTCATGACAGTCCCGCTGTACTAAAGAACCCATGGCCCCCTATCCAAAAATTTTCAGCACGAACGAACACCGAATCACGTGCGTTCCTTCTTTCGCCAAGTACCGCTTTGAAGGGAAACTCTATGAAACATACAAGTAACTGTACGCAACACACGCCTTGGGTGTACATAGCCGCCGTTGCGCAACTGTGCGACGTATGACAAAGAAGCGCACGTTTCTTGCAACAAGGGCGCCAGAATGACGTTCCTTTTCTGCCGTAAACAAACGAGTGTTTGAAACCTACTCATATCAAACAACGACGTACATTTACACTCTTTGACCGATGCTTCGTGTGGCGATTTATGCTTCAAAAACACGCACCCGGTGATGAAAACGAAAACCAATCGCACCTTCGGTCCGGCCGCAAAGCCGCTGTAGCCATCATGTGTTCCCCGTACACCATGTCTCGGCCCAAACCAAAACTTCACACACGCACACTTTTTGCACAGCCCATCACAGGGAACGCAGGGACGCGGGGATGGGGGGGGGGGGGACCAAGCACAACGGCGGCACACGAAAGAAGAGGGCATCCAACAAGAAGTCGAACAATGCCCCCATTTATCTATCATACTCCGAACATTGCCATTCTCCACTCCCTCCAATGAAAACCGCTCCTATTAGACGTCATCTAGCTCGTCCTGCGTCGCTGTCGGTCTACCCCCCGAACACGCCTCCCCTCCCCCCTCCGTGGTACTCCCCGTCGCCGCCGCTCCTCCAGCTTTCGCGACGGCAGCCGCCAGTGTCGCAGCATCGCTAGATCTTCGCGCTCCGTTGTCACCGCTACCGGCAGCGGAACCACCGCCTCCATTCGCGACGCTCATTTTTCCTTTCAGGTCGCTCGTTCTTATCCCGGCAGCGGCTCGGCCCTCGGAGTGGACACCACCCTCCCTTGCGGTAGATGAGCCACCGCCACCGTTAGCGAGAGCGCCAGAGGCAGGGGTAGAACCAGAGCCCCTAGTGCCGTTAGCGGCAGAAGAAGCGGCATCGTCTCCGACGACAGAGCCAACCGAAGAACCTTCGGCGACGTGCGGAATGGCTGCGGCGGGAGCTCGCGGGGTCCGCTGTTCGAGAGGTGACAGCGGCGCCGGCGCCGGCGGCGGTGGTAGCTGCTGTCGCCTCGACTTCGAAACGTACTCGAGGTTATCGTAGTACTCGCTGACGAGGCGTTGGAGGCTGCGGTTCCCGCTAAGCGCCGGGAGCACAACCTGCAACAGACAGAAAAAGACGCGGGGTGGGATGCCGCGGGAAAGGTAGGGGGGGTGAGAAAAAGCTAGAGCAGCTGTGTTCAGCTTCTCCAACTCGGAACGACAAGACCGACTGCTCGCTTGCACAACCAAAAAGGTCGACCTGCTGCATGACGGGCGGTCTGATTTCGAGAGCGCGGGGCTATAACTCACCAACGCTGACTTGGCCCTCACGGCTGGGTCCTTGTACACGCAACACCGGGTTTTCGCCGCAAATTCGTTTCACCCTCGGGGATACCGCCACAGCCCTCCTATGCTTACCTTGCTCAGGAGGTGCAGCTTGTCCAACCCCAAAATGGAAGGGCCGTTGCACAGACGCAACCCCGGAAGCTCCCTCGTCCCACCGCCCCCACCCGGGGGGGGCATCATCGCGCCAGAGCCCCCGTCACCTCCGCCATCTGCCCCCTTTCCGACTCCGATCGACGCTAGCATAAGCTTGTCGCAGAGCGTCCGGACCCTGGTTGGCCGATTTTTTGTATCAGGGGCACCAGGACAAGGGGGGCTCGGGAGTTAGACAGCAGATCTACGGTGCGGATGTAAGTACAAGAAGGTCGGGGAGTGCAACTTGGTTGACATGAAATGTAACAAGAGCAGCAGATCCCGGAGCGGTGCGGTGTCATAAGTGGCGAGCGATTCGCCGGTCCACGACCAACACATTGACACCCTGCATGAAGGATATATCCATGCCGGTCCACGACCAACACATTGACACCCTGCATGAAGGATATATCCATGCGGCCTTGGCACACACAGCAGTACTTCCCACAGCCCAGCCAAATCAGAAACATTTTGAGCGAGCGTACCGGCCTTCCCCGTAGCCCGCGCTCTTGGCGAGGTGCCCCGCGTACGCCCGCAGAACGTCCTCGAACTCCTCCGCGTTGCCCAACAACACGGCGGTCGACAACGACTCTTCGAGGTGCCCCCTCGTAACCGCCGACTGCAGGCTCTCCCTCGCCGGTGCCCCCGCCATCGCCGCCGCCGGCCGCTTGCCCGCTTTCGAGGCCTGCAGGATCGCGCCGGGGGAAGGGGACGCGCCGGACCGAACCCCTCTCTGAAGCGCCGACAAAACGCCTCCCCTGGTGGAGGGAGACGTGCACGGGCCCGAAGAGTAGAAGTCGGACAGTGCGGACCTCCCGTCGGCAACCCTGACCCACGTCTCGAGCCCCAGGTGAAACGTGAAAGCCTGGAGGGACCCGCCGGGGGCCCCGTGGCATGCCAGCATCACCAGCGGCATCCCCTCCGGCGTCACCCCGGCCCTTGCCACCGACGCCCCCTTCTTCGCCTCCGGTCCGGCGGAAGCCCCAGCAGCACCGGCCCCGGTGCCACCGGATGTGCCCCTAGGGGAACGAGGTGAGCCAGAAGCGGCGGCGGCAGCGGGAGAGACGCCGGAAGAAGTGAGCGACCGGAACAGGGGGCTCAGAGACGTCTTGACGACAATCCTCATGCTGTCGAGGTTCCAGACGGTCACGTCGCCGTCTCCGGAGATGGCCATCAGGTGCTCGCCCGGCTGGGCGGCAGCGGAAGCCGGAGGTTGTTGTCGCGGCGGTGGTCGCTTGTCGCAACACTCCAGGTAGGCGACGGGCGGCGAAATCACCATCGGAGGCGCAGAACGAACGCCATTCCTGGGATCGGGGCGTGGCGAGAGCGGGGGGGGTGGGTGGGCTTAAGGGTAGACAGTAGTAGGCATGGGGCAGCCATAGACGTAAGACCTATATGACAGATAGCGTAGGTCAAAGCAACATGAACGTTCCGGACTACAAACACCACCGACAACGACGTCATCAAGCCTGCCGGCAGAAAAAAAAAAGCCGCTCACCTGTCGTACACGTAGACCGATCCGTCTTCCGCCCCGACGGCCGCGACTCGGTCGTTGCCGCAGCACGCCGTAGCCATGCCCGCCATGTAATCTCTCCACGCCTCCCTCCCCCCCCTCGTGACGGTCAAAAGCGTGTACCGCCGGGACGGCAGGCCTAGAAAGTCCTCGTCCAACGCCGAGCACTCCATCACTGTCGCCCCTGATGGCGCCCCGCCGCCGTTGTTCCCTTCGACCCCTGACCCCGATCTTGCCCCGCCTCCCGCCGCCGCCGCCCCCGTCTGTACTCGCGGGGAGGACCGGAACGCATCCCCGCCTTCCTCTTCCCTGCCGGTAATCTGCCTCACTAGGCTGCCTGTCGCCCTCTTCCGCGGCATGAGCTCGGGTGGAGACACCAGCGGCATCCCGCCCCCCCTCGAGCCTCTCAACCGAACCACCGTGCCCTCGCAAGCCCGCACCCCGACCGCCTGCTGCCCGCTCCCGCTCCAGCCTCCCGCACCGCCGCCGGTCCGCGGACGCTTGGACCCGGACCTCGGGGAGTTCACCGTCGGGGCGGCGACCGCCGCGGAACCAAACCCTTCGGACACCGTCGTTCCCCCCGGCGGGAAGACGGTGGTGACCGCGAGGTCTTGCGGGGTCGCCCCCGGCCCGTCGCTCAGCAGCATTGGCTGAATCCGCCGCTTGCCGCCCTTGCCGCGGGATTCTATCTGGAGCGGACGGGACGGCGCCGACGCCCCCGTCGCCGGCGTCGTCATCCTTCCCGCCAGCGACGACGCCGTGGAGTTGCCGTTCGCCTTCGCCGCCGCCGCTCGGCTCTTCTGCACTTCTTTCCTCGCCTTCTCCAGAGCCAGCTGTCGGGGGTTGTCGACCAGGGACGGGGAGCCGTCGAGCGCGAGAGCGACGTTGCCCGCGTCCTTACCGTACATCTTGACGAGGTGGGCCTGTCGGTGCTCCTATGTGGCAAAAACAGAAGAGCATCAAGGAAGAGCACGGAGCACCCAACACCAAAGTTGACGATGGATCTCCATCGGGTCATGTACGCCTGGGCGCCACTGCAAGGTCATCCATACACAAGGGGTCATTCTCGAGATTTTTGCGGGGCCTCCTTAACTCGCCCCCACCAAAAACCTTTACAAACACCCGGTTCTTGGGCGTTCGGACAGAAACAACACAAAGACCGTACACACCCAACTCACGGGCCGGTCCAGCGCAACCCCTGCAAAACCTTGCTCACCTCCGATACCACGACCCCGAGCTCTTCCTGCGTGAACCTCATCACCACGACAGTCCCGTCGTACCCGGACACCACCAGCGTGTAGCCGTCGGCGCTCCAGGACAGGTCCGACGGGGGCTGCTGGAACACGTCCTTCAGGATCACCAAGGGCCGCGCCGCCGCCGCCAGCCACACCGTCAAGATGTTGTCCTGCCCGGCCACCGCCACGACGTGGTGGGATTTGGGCCTTCCCCCCGCCGCCGCGGCCGCGGCCGTCGGCTTGTAGATGATCGGGCTGAAGCTCGCCGCCAGGGTGGCCTGCGAGAAGCCGACGAGGAAGGTGGGCTGGTCGTGCCACCGCCCTCGCTGGAGAACGACGGCGTTGTGGGTGTCCTGTTGCGGTTGTGTTGGGGAATCCGGAGAGGTTGCGGGATTTGGGGACTGTTACGGGTATGCATACGTGGATGGGAGGTTTGCAAGGCGGGGTTGCCGCAACGCTGGATTGCCGGAGATGCGATTGGTAGAGAGGAGAGAACCACGGCACAGGTGGAACTACTGCGGTAGGAGAAGGCGAGTGCTCCAAACGGGCTCTCGTGACAAGGGAAACACTGCGGCTAACAGATCGATGACGGAGGGCGTAGCGCTGCTATGTCCGCATTGAGTATTCCAATACGAGACATGAGGGCGGATCCAGTCCGGGAAAATGTCCAAGAAGCAAAACCGCACCAGGAAACACCATAGCTCCAAAACAGCCAACTGTACCAGTACACAGGAAAACGGCCAATACAATGCCTTTCTCATCTGTATCCGACTCGCGCTCCCCCCCTGTTCGACGAAACCATTCTCATACGGCGTGACAGGTGCAAAGGCCACCAACTCCCGACATCCAACACTTCCCCCGGCTGTCTCGATCACCCCACACGCTGTTATCAAGCCCAGACCCACGCAAGGGCCACCAGCAAGCAAAGCATGACCATGACTTCTCACCCCGTCCTTGCTGTTGGTAACCACAAGAAACTGTCCGTCCGGGCTCCAGCTGATTCTCCGGACTAGCGTGTCGTCGCAGTCCTCGAACGGTTCCGTGATAGTCGCTTCGACGTCCCAGTTTCCCCCAACGCGCCAGATCTGAACGGGGTTGGTGGGGGGTAGAGGAGATGCGGCGAGAGTGCCTCAGACAACTGCGGTGATAGTATCTCGAGATCCTCTACGACGCTACGCGGGTTTGCGGAATCGCCCATCTCAAGTGTGAAGGATCAGAGCGAGAGGTGAGCACCACCAGTGCATGCAAGGTTTCAACGCTGTCTAACCCGGCTTGAAACAGCAAAACACAACCAAACAAGCCGAACGAGACAAGATGTGAGCATCAGAATTGCAGCAGTTGGCACGGGCAGTGACAATCTTGTGCAATTCCCCCGGCGAACACCCACCACACCGCTCGTGGTCCAAATCAACGCTACTCGACTTTCCATCGGCGGTTGAAGGCAAGAAAATGCTTCGAAGCAAGTTAGATCAGTACAGACAGACGGAGGTAAACAGTTGGCTTGTGCTTGGTTGTTGCATGGTTCGGTTACAGTAGACCCATGGTAGAGAGATCGGAACGTTTTTAAATGTGAAGACAGCAACAACAGCGTTAGGCAAGGCGGGAAACTCACGAGCAGTCGGTTGTCCTCCCCGATGCTAGCAATGAACCGGCCGATGGGGTCCCACGCGACCCCCTTCACGCAGCACGAGGACGAATCCGCGGAACCCCCATACCGACAACAGCAGAGACGAAGGAGCGAAGAGGGAAGATCGACTCAGATGCGGCTACCAACGGTCGGTTGGCCTTAACAGGCTCATGAGAGCGGATGGCAGGCGAGACAGACAAACATATCCCACAAGCATGCAAGATCTTCGGTATGTGTACACGTGCGAGATGGTTGTATCAACTAGCCCACGCCGATCACTTTCACCACGTGTTTCTCAACTGGACGGCGAAGGAGGGGGGCATGAAAAAGGGCATCGCACGAGCGCGATGGGCGACTTGCAACTTGGAAATGAAATAGATTCCACGCAACTGCCGAAGATGACAAAAGCATGGGACCCGTTCCCTAGAAAAAAAAGTCGTGCCTGTCGGCCAAAAATGGCACCTAATCATGGTGCCCACTACGTCACCCTATAAGAAGCCGAAATCAAACCACTCGACTAGTGAACGCAAACTAGTCAGCTAATGGAAATAGTCTCAAGTCTAATGGTTTGATTTCGGCTTCTACAACTCTCACTCAGTCTCCGCGTCTCCCACAAAAACAAACCGTCTCCAAAACCAAGGAAGCGGCGAGCCAGCGAACGCCAGGAGCACGCGCAGCAGCAGCAGCACTCCCAGAAAGAAACACACACACCTTGACGAAGCTTGTGTGTTGCTCGAGCGACTGGAAAGGGTTCAGGATCTTGGCGGTGGCGAGTCGGGAGAGCTGAAGACCCTCCTCGCCGTCGGTTTCGGGCAGCCGCCAGACGATGACCTTGTTGTCGATGCTGCAGGACACCAGCATGGAGTCGTTTGGCGACCTGCCCCACCCCGTCATGTACCCACCCAACAGACAGCCGCAGTAGTGCGTTAATTTGTGAAGAGTCGGGTCCTAGTTGGTGTCCGAGCAAGAGCTGAGTACGGGGATCGGGGGTGCCGTGGGTCGATGAGTGTACCATGTACCCACCCAGAAGGCAGCAGTGAAGCAAGTGCGGCAATTCAAACAAGAGTCGGGCCCTATTATAGTTGTTTTCCGAAAAGAAGAAGGTTTGACATCGGGGTGTCGAAAGTCGATGAATGTAGACGAGGACAAGCTCGTGGTTTTGTGGAAACAAGACACCTCGTTGTGATGATGTTCTTGCGCGTGAGGTGGATCGGAATATCAGCGAGGACGCTATAATAGGCGACAGCTGGTTCGGATGTCGCGTAAGCCGTCTCCGTGTCTTCGATCGGAGTTGGAGTAGGGGGCGAGTTGAACACTCAAATGTTGTACCAGGTACACTTTTGCACTTGTGATGTCTTTTGAAGAACGTGCACAGCCAAACGGGGTAACCGTACATGCCCAGAAGGTGTTACCCCCGGCAAAATTTACTAATATACCACCTCCCCACAATATGGTACACCCAGTAGAAAAAAACAAGTGTCTCAGAATGAGAGCCCACAACGTAAAAATATTCTCAGATCACATAGTCTAGTGATTTGGTTCACCGAAGATTTAGCACCTCCAGGGATGATATTTTCAACCAGCCAAACTATGATATCACGGGGGGGTGTTATCTTGTGTGGAATTCTGTATCCTCTGTTGGTGACCGAGGGCAACGACCGAATGGAGCAAATCACCTTCCAGGTGGATTGGCAACTCGTCGGTGCACTGTTCACAGATTTTTTCGCGTCGGTGCTGGCTTGCGCGCAAACTTGCTCCGCCTACAGAACAGTATGAGTTTTATGTGAAGTTTCTTTGCAAGAGGAACATGCACACAGCAGGTAAGGTGGATGGACTTACCAGGCGCAGTCCAGCACGTCCATGGAGTGGCCCCTCAAGACGCAGACCCTGGACCAGTTCTCGATGTTCGGGGTTTCGGTCGAGCCGAAGGGGGCCGCCGCCGCCGACCCCTCGGGGAGAAGTTCCCAGACGAGGACGAACTTGTCATCCGAAGCGGAGGCAAGATACCGACCGCCGTGGCTCCACCGCACGCAGAGCACGCTCCCCGTGTGCTGGGGCAGGCCGGCCAGCAGCTGCACGTCTTCCCCCTGCACCAGGGGGGAAGGGGTGCTAGCCGCTGATTGCCCTTCTTCTGATGGCGGTGGTGGTGACGGTGCCCCGCTGCTGCTGTCTTCCGGCGCAGAGGTTGTTGACGACGCCGCCGCGACGGAGGCCGCCGGGGCTCTGAATGGCGCCATCGACCAGATCCTAACGCGGTGGTCGCTGCCGCCGGTGGCGAAGCGGGATCCGTCCGGGTGCACGTGCACCGAGTAGATGACGCACGCCTGCTTCTTCTCGCCGAAGTGGCCCACGCTCAGAGGCTTGTCGAGAATCATGGTCGGCAAACTCGCAACAAGAGTGTGTGCGGGATGCTCCAGTAGTATACTTGTATTCTACAGCAGTAGGCTCTAGTTCGAAACGCGCGCTGCTGCTGCTGTTGTTGAGAGAGCGGACTATTTTTCAAAATCGAAACTGTAGCGCGTTCGGTAGCCGTGGCCTGCGCTTGGCTGTCCTGCACCCGTAGGTCAATCAGAGTGTAGCCCTTCAAGGCCACGGGTGGTGCTGCCTCCGCCTCGGTCCAGTGGTGGTGGGTGAGATTACGAGAGGCAGTACCACACGGGCCGGCTCTGTGCGGGGGGCGACGCTGGCTACTGGTGGGCACCGCATCACACATTTCGCGGAGCCCCAATTTCAGCCGCACACACCGACACGACACTGCACAGGCGACTACACACACACCACACCAGCAGCATCGCCGGGGCAGCAGCTTGCAAGAGGTGCGCAGTACAACCATGGCATCGCGCATGGCTACATCTTGCCTAGCAGGACCACTGCGGCAAGCCCGTCTGGCCCGGCCGCAATTGCACCAGCTGCTACGCCGTGATTGCAACCGTCCAAGCCGCGTCGTCCGCAGCTGTCGGATAGAATCGTGTTCAACGTCAACAACCGGAGGTCTACCACCGTCATCGTCAACGGCAGCGTCATCATCAAAGACGCCAACATCGACCCCGCCCCCGACTGGCAAGAAGACGAACGTCATGGACGTCGTCAAGATCCGCCGTCGGGGAGAGAGGAAGGTCACGATGGTGACCGCCTACGACTATCCGTCCGCGGTGCACGTCTGTCGCGCTGGCATCGATATCTTGCTCGTGGGAGACTCTGTGGGCATGGTCGAGCTGGGCTACGACACCACGCAACCCGTCACCGTCGGGGACATGCTGCATCACTGCAAGGTAAATGTGGCCCGTAAATGTGCTCCACCGTCTGTTTGGTCTTAATGACGCACTTGCGTATGCATGCGGCTGGCTGTGTGATAGAAGTGCCAAGGTTGTGATGGTTCATGAAATTTGAATTTTGAACAACGCCGCTTCTACTCAATCCTGCACGAGTTGATCTTGTGGCTCATGCCACTGCGCTGCTGCTGTGTCTAAGAGAGAGCAGTCACAGCTACCGTCATGCCCTACCCTCCCAGTAAGTGCCGGTTGATAAACGCTGGGTGCCCCCAACGGCACCGGTGGAATCGCGCGACACAGATGGAGCATTCAATTTGTGATATTATTCTGAATAGTGCCGAATGCTCGACTAAGTAAGGTGCTCAATGAGGGCCTCGTTACGTGCCGTGAAGGGTGCGCGTCTTGGCACACTGCTGTGCGGTCGTCTTTTTTAACGTGTTCGGTCTCAGATTTTTTTCGCACAAGGTTGCCCAAGAAGTAAAAATAATGTTTGGTCCTGAAAATATAATCTACATCCCGTGCGACGCGTGCGATTCTGAACATACATAAAGCGGGGATGTGGAGTGTTTCGCAAGGCGCACCCCCGTGCCAAGACCCCAATGTGTGCGATCCTGAACACACCACAGCGGACACACAGCAGCACTTGGTGCGCAGTAGGGCAGCACCAGGATCACACCATAACGAACACAAACACAGCAGCACGGCAGCTCAAACACGCGCGGCGAAAGAAATGCGGCGAAATAAAGCCCTGAGGTGGCGAATTACCTTGAGATTCCCCGCCACACAGGTGGACGCTCACGCACACACCACACTGGCTACACGTTGGCTACGATGTCGTTTGGTCTCTTGTGGTTCGTACGCGTTTTTGGTTGATTGAGCGGATATCGTTTTGCCTATTTCGACAATAATAAGTTCTAAATACAAGTATTAACACATCACTTGCACATGACCAACGTCACGGTGTGAGAGTACAGCAGTGGAGCTCATGATGCAAGCTCCCGTGGTACAGCAGTAGTGTCCCGCGACCAACACTGGAGGACACCACGCGTAGTATCGATCGCCCAACCTCACCGAAGGCATCGGTGCCTCCGCACACCCCTGTGCGAACTGAACTATACCTCTAAGATTACCAATGAATCCCTTCGAACCCTTTTTTTTTTTTGGCACCCTCTGAGACGAGACCCCGGCCTGTGCGGTGTAGCCGATCCGCGCCAAGACGCACATCCTTACGGTAGACTGCACAACGACGTGTGGATGTCTTTTACCGCAAGCCACAGTGTGTGTGTGTGTGTGTGTTTTTTTTTCGTCTTATTATGGCGACAGTCCCCTCCTTTTGCGTGGTGAGACGTGCACTACACTTTTCAGTGTATGTAGATTCCTACACGCTTTTCAGTGTATTTTTTCGTACAGCTACAACCATCCAGGGTCAAACAGGAGGGGGTAAACACCAGGGTTTTTTCTTCTTTTTATTTATTTTCATGCCCCACCTTCCTCCCGCGGTGCGTGCTGGATTTTATTTTTATCGCGAGAAGGGTCCAGCCGTCCCTTTCCCTCGTCAACGATGCTAACGTCGAAGTTTGGTACTCACGAGAGCTTTCCAGCTATATTTCGCTTTCACCCGCATTTTTTGTAAATATTTCACCCCGTGGGGATTCGAACTCACGACCTTTACGACTACATGGCGGTTTCGAGGATACCACTAGACCACCGGGGCGACCGTGGTAGATTCCACAATTGTGGTCTGCTTGTTTGTTTGTCCATATTTTGCTTTGGTCTTCGGTCCGGGTTGTTTGTGTGACTTTCGGCAGGCAGTGGGCAGGGGCGCGCGCACGCCACTGGTGGTCGCGGACATGCCGTTCGGCAGCTACGAAGTGTCGCCGAAAGAGGCGCTACGAACGGCCATCCGGTTTGTCAAGGTGAGAGATGTTCCGAGAGACTTGCACCCGTTTTGTGATAGTCCAGCGGATGCCCGCATTGTTTGGCGGAACCAGCGTACACTGGTAACCAAGTGGTCCGGGTACCGAGCATCAAGTTTCGGCTTTGTCAAGCGTACCAGGCCGTGATGAGCGATTTCGGCACCGTGGTCCGTCTGTTTTTGGTCGTTGGTGGCGTGTCGGCACACTGGCTGTGATCTCAACAATGCATACAGTCCGTGGTATTTCTAAAATTTGTGAGTGAGTCGCCTGCGACGTCCGAACGATCTGCAGCGGCTGCCCTATCCGCACTGCCCCCCTAGCGCGGGTCCATCGCGATTCCCTGCTCCTAACGTCGCTGCCGCCCCATCTGGCCGCGTCCGATGTCTTTCCCTCGAGCAGGAGGGCAACGTGGACGCGGTAAAGCTTGAGGGGGGAAAGAACCGCGCCGAGCACATCCGAAAGGTTGTAGACGGGGGGATCGCTGTGATGGGACACGTGGGACTGACGCCGCAGGCGATCAGGTGAGGGAGGAGAGCGTGAAATAATCGAACAAAAAGTGTCGCCCTCTTTGCTGATACATACATCAGGCGGTGCGCTGTGCTGTGGTGTCGTGATGCTTGCACCGTTACCCTTGAACGTTCTTGAAAGAATGTACTAAACGTCGGTGAAATATGTTTTCTTCAAATTTTGTTTTAATCATGTTTCCAGTGTCCTCGTCCTTTCTTCGTCGGTGATCCGAGACTCACCCACCACGGGGTGGCGAAACCGTACATGACGTCATCTCACCGTTCGCCCGCGGGCGCGCTCTTGTGGCTACGAACAGTCGCAGCACCCACTCAAGTGCATGCATGCAGCACGCGCATACCGCGTCCATGCATGCAATACGGCGACACGACTCCTCCCCCCCCAACCTTTCTTCTCGTCCTTTTTTTTGTTTTCGTGACCCTAAAAAAGCGTCTTGGGAGGGTTCCGTGCGCAGGGGAGAACGGCGGTCAAGGCGAGGCAGGTCGTGGACGACGCCTTGGCAGTGCAGGAGGCCGGCGCCTTTGCGGTGGTGGTGGAGTGCGTTCCGTCCCCTGTGGCGAAGGCCGTCACGGAGGCGCTGGAAATCCCGACGATCGGGATCGGTGCCGGGCCTTGCACCAGTGGCCAGGTGATGTTTTTTTTTCATTGGTGGTTGTAGGTGGTGGTGGTAATTTGACGTAGTGGGTGGTCCGCTAGCTTGATTGTGATGAAGTGCTTTGCGGGGATGACATTTTGGCGTCGAAGCCGGTCGTACGCCCCCTACGCAGCAGCAGGATCGATAGTATTATAGCAAGCAACACCAGTAGCAGCAAAGCGTGTCCGGGAAAGGTTGACAAGCTGGATCATCACGTCCATTTACAATGGTCGCTATGTAGAAGCAGCGTGAGGCAGAGGGTTGCAGCAGCAGCTAGAAACAACATTTTTTTTTTCGTTCAAACGCAGAGAGCGTGCACAGCAGCAGCAGCAGCAGCAGCAGCAGGCCCTTATTCTCTCCCGCACTCATCCATTCGATAAAACGTACGTTTTTGACCAAACAGGTTCTAGTTTACCATGACATGCTTGGGATGCTCCAGCACCCGCACCACGCCCAGTTCGTCCCTCGATTCTGCAAGAACTACGCCAGCGTTGGCGAAGAGGTGCGGTTTCGTCGAAGACCATTCGGGGGGGGAGAAAGAGACGGTTCGGAAAGGAGCAGCCGTGTCGAAGAGTAACTGCTAGAGGCTAGAGGGCAGGGGTGAATGCTTGTCGTGCTAGTGACTAAATTATAACTAAATAAAATTGCCCTGCTCTTGCAGGGCTGCCTCCCATCCGTGGTCCGCTTTCCATTGATCCTTCCTTTGAACGGGTTGATTGGACTTCGTGCGCGACGGTGTGACGAAACGACGTAAAATAAATCCTAACGGGAGCGAGGGTGTCTCTTTCTCTGTCGCGGGGTCCTCTCTCTTGTTCTACAAATTAATTACATAATATTATTGTACATCATGTCACACAGCGGATGAATGTGCAGTATGCCTACTACGTACGCCAGTAGTGTGCTATTATAGCCTCCCTTGTTCTTGTGGGCTGATTAGCGCCTGTCTGGTGGTTGTGGATGACAAAAAGGCAGGGCTGTCCTCGTTCATTTCTCCGCGGTAATTTTACCGCACGCAGTAAAACCACGGTAAGCACAGTTTCCGGCGATCCCGTGAAGAATGAGAATTACCGTTTTCCCATCCAAATCGTTTCTTCCGTGATAAATTGATTTTACCGTCAACGCCTGACAAATTGAAGTGCCCTATTACCGTACAAAAAATTACCGCGGAAAAATCGGAATTCCCGTGCTCTCGAGATACCGCGGAGTATGTTGTTACCGTAAGAGCAACACAATCTCATCTACAGCCGCACAGAAACACCACAGTTAGTTGCATTGTTTGTTGAACCGTTGAATAATCCCACCGTTTGTGGTGTGGTTGACTGTGCAAACAAGTTCCTATACCGTGCGTGGTGACCAGTTACGGTAACAAAGAAAGCATATTTTTCTGTGCACTACTACTATACTGTGACTGACTGTGGGGACTGTTTTCCATACAATAAATTACCGTGGTGACCAGTTACCGTAAACACATGGACATTCCTGTGCATTACCGTGGTGGCTGGTTGCCGTACAATAACATTATTACCTACCGTGGTGACGAGTTACCGCGTACGGAATTTACCGTGCGTGGTGGCCAGTTACCGCCCAAATACTACTGTGTTGTACCGTGGTTTTACAGTGGTTTCTTCCGACATGAAAACCGTTAACGAGGACAGCCAGCCCTGCAAAAAGGTGATACGTACATACATGTATGTAGGTGATGTCCAGCAGCAGTACATACATACAGTACAGCACAGTAGTAGTAGTGAGTACAGTAGTACTGCCATATATAGTACACCGGCAGTCGAGGGCATGCGTGCATGCATCAGCACAAGGGCGAGCGGCCATCATGTCGAGAAGAATGCCATGGATTTAAATTTGAAATTTTGATTTTTTGGAGGGGTTCATCGACGGCAGAGAGACCAAAAAAAACTGCGGTGTGCTTGCTACATATGCATACAATTACTTGAGAACAGAGTACAGTCAATTGGAGACTACATACATGCCCGACACGCAACGAAAGTAAGGAGTGTGACACACACAGGTACGCTAGAGCTGTATAAAGCACGGCCGACTCTCGACGCAAGAATTAGATACAGGGACCACTGCTGCATCACAAGATAAGATGATTGCTTGTGGGAGGGTGACGCCATGGGCATGACTTGCCCCTCCGTAGGGGCGGTTGAAGTGAAAAAAACAGTTGCAGAGAGATAGGAGGCAAAAAAGAGGGCTGCTGGCAGGTACATTTGAAACACAGGTTTTGACCGCCACAGTCGTCGATAGCCAAAGATGCGGGCATGCACAGGTCGACCTTTCAATGCTCGTTTTCGGGAGCTGCTTACATGCCCGACAGGCAGCGGAATGGGGGTGCAACGGTAGTTGCAGCGTTTCGCGAAAGAGGTGGGCAGAAGGGTTAGAAATAATGCCTCTGGCGGGTGAAATGCGGCGGGAAAAAAGGGAAGCGAAGAGAGAAAGTCACCAAAATCAAAAATCAAGCTTGGTCATCGGGTGTCCAAAGTAGGTAATAGGGTGAATAAAAGCAATATTTAAACTTTAAATTTTAGCTTTTAAAATCAATGGAATTACATGACGATCCATTCTATTATAAATAACAATTGCCTTTCCCAAAATACGTCTAATTTTTTCTAATGACAAACCTTGACAAGCCTGAGTGTGGCGCATGCATATGGTTTCGTCGGCTACAAGCATCAACTGCCCCGCTTGAAGAGATGCGTAGGCAGCCCTTTTCGATGCTCGTTGTCGGGAGATGCTTACTTTGCAAATTGGCAGCGAAATGATGCCGAGAGGCCCGTTGCAGCGTTTTGCGATGGAGCTATGCAGGGTTGCAGCAGATGGATCAGCAGCACGGGGCCGAAGGGGGCATGTGACGGGAAATGTGTACCCCCGTGGTCCATGCGTTGTATTTTGCGTCTCCCCTTAGCACAAACCTTGCTTGTACGTCGCAATCCGAGCTACGGGGTGTACCAAGGGGTGAGCATCGAACGCAGTGTAGTTCTAGCTCCACATAGATGTAAGATTTTTGTCGAGGTGACGAGTATGTGCTGAGAAATTGCGAATTCTTGCAGGGTGATTGTTTTGTGCCGTGAGAGGTCAGCGTAGGGATGACGACATGCTGTCACGGGCGGCGCGCAGGTCTGATGGCGTTGTAAATTGGCACACACATGTACGTGCGGACAGTGTTTGTTTGCGTTGGCTGTCCGAGTTTCGTGGACTTTCGCGAGCAGGATGCGGAGTTATCGATGCGGCAAAAATTTCGTGTGCTGGGCGGCGCCGGGCAACTCGACCCGCAAATCAGCCGAAACGGTGTTCATTGCCTTGTTCGCTCCCCTCGCCACCGTCCCTGCCGAGACTTGCGCAGCACGCCTATCTTGTCCTAGCGCATCGAGCCGCGGCCAGCATGGGGCTGCTGCATCTTGCTCGGGTGTGGAGTATTGCGCCGTGGCGAAAAAATGCAAGGGGTTGCCCAAGAGGCGCCTCAGCGCCTCTGATTTGGGGGGGGGTATTGTACTTTTTCTCTGCGCTGCGTGCGACGCGAGTTGAAACGCTCGCCGTGCTGGCGAGGGCTGGAGTGTGGGCAGGCATGGCCCCGAACGTCGTCGTCGTGGCGGTTTTGTGGCGTTGTTGAGCTCAAAGAATTCAGCCGCGGAGAAGCAGAGCAAACCATGTGTCCACAGTACAAACAAGTTAAAGGGATTTGGAGCCAGATAAAATGATTGGGTTTGGCGATAGTGTCGCTTCGATTGAAATTCCTTCGACAGGGCCCTCGAGGGGTAGGTCTCGCGAAGGCACCGCCGCGATCTCATGCTCGTAGCTTTCGCGAGCCGAGAGTAATCGGCCCCGGTCAATTTTCTCCGGTCACTTTTTTCCCGGTCAAAATTCCATATACGTTTTTTTTTTTCCGTAGCTGAAACCAATCCTAAACGGATTGGGGTAACAACGAGATGATGTTGGAAAGTGTCTCTCTCAGTAAGTACATCACCAGCGTGGGCTCGATGTGAATTGTTATCCTGTCTTTGAATCGGCAACGGTGGAAGACCCACGGGAAAACATTTCGAGCCACAACCACCAGTAAGCGGAGTCAGTCTTGCTCCCGTACGCCAATTTCCTTGGAAAGCAGACCAAAATGCGGCGAGCTCGACACACTTTCTCGCTAGCCCTCGCCCAACTCTCGAACTCTTGCAACAATCAGCGAGAACCCACCGTAGCTGCTCAAGCGCTTGTTGCCCGTGACCCTCGCCGTTGCTGCTGCTGTTGTCAGGTGCGCCGAGGGCTTGAAAACTTCCGGCGGGAGGTGGAGGGTGGCGTCTTCCCGCAAGAGGAGCACAGCCCGTACAAGATGCCGGCTGGAGAAGAGCAGCAGTTCAAGCGGCTCCTCGCGAAGGTAGGCCAACTCGACGATTTTTTTAAGTCATCTCTTGTGCTACACAAGGGGAATTCCCAAATGTTGCACGCTTGGGTAGGCTACAAGGGCATATGCCGCTAGAGCGAGGATGTCGACGTCGGTCCGCGAGTGCACTTGGTGTTGTGGCCTTTTGGTGATTTTTGCGTCATCGACGAGCACCTGATGCGCTTCCGTGTTTTTGCTCAACCCCGTGGCGATGCCGCCCAAGAAAAAACAGGGTATCGAGCTCATCGATGCGTCCGTCCCCTCTGGTATCACCGACAGGTTCGATGCGTAGTACTTTGCACCCCCCCCGGCATTCCGTAAACAATCGTCCGACCATCATCTCCCCTCCTCCAACACCACCTTTGACCCCTGCCGATCAAACGTTTACTTGGTTTTGGGGGGTGATTGCGGGGGCAGGATGAACACGAGCGACTGGAGCGGCTGGCGCTAAAGAAGAAAGCCCTCGAGGAGCAAGACGAGTACGAGACCGTCAGTAAGGACGACGATGGTGACGTTGAGGGGCCTTACGGGGGAGGAGGAGGAGGAGGAGGAGGAGGAGGAGGAGGAGGAGGAGGCTCCAAACGATAGGGGATGGCCACAAAGGCGCGATAGACGCCGTAGAGTTGATACATATGCATTTGACAGACTCGCTGAAGGTACGTTGTCGCCACCGTGCAGCAGGCAATGATGGGATAGGTGCAATAGCAGCATTGGCAAGAGCGGTCTTTCTAAGCGACAGTATCGCGGACGCGGACGCGCTGCATGCATATCAAAGAGGAAACCAGAAACGGGTTGGGATGGCGCACACAGCAGTTCCCCTCGTCAACCTCCGTCGCGTTGTGTGTGTGGTGTGCGTTCGGCCGCGCCTATGACGCGCCTTGTTTTTGTCGATGCGGTCATTTAGGGACAGAATATTGCAGGGTGGATGAGTTCTTGTTTGCTGAGGCATCTTCTATGTGCAGCTCCCCAAGCATGCTTGTATATCTTTCTTGACTCATTGCTGAAGCATGCGTATGCGTGCAGCCCCCCAAGCATGCTTGTATACCATTCAATTTTTGTTCGATTCGAAAGGAGCCTGCCTGTCCGTAGGTCGTCGTGATTGTGCTCGATTTTCATGAGCGCGTCTCGTCCCGCGGGAAAAATCGAGTGTTCCGTCTCATTACCTTTGTGTGGGTTGTTCGGGTGTTATGCTGCGGCTTCGCTTTGTGCCTTGCCAGCTCGGCTGTGGACATTAAATTTTTTCCCGTTTGTAATTTGTTTTCTTGCGGTTTTCGGGGGGGGGGGGGGGGGGGGGGG